GTGATACTGAAGAATCAGGCACTTGACAATGCTTGAATGATAACCGATATTACTCACTGAATAATTGTCATCACGTGCCCTTAGCAAATTAGGACCAAAGACAATAGCTAGATTCTTAGCGTACATATGGTTATATTCCTCATAATCAGTAACTCTGATTGAGGATTAGAAGGAATAAGCATTAAGATCACAGAAGGAATTAGTTAAAAAAAAAACAAAAAAACGACCGAACCTCTCCAAATGTTCAATTAATCTTTTCAGCAAATCGTAATTTCGTTTAGGCAATTTGGATATAACCTCTTTAATAGCGAGAACTCGCTCATCTTTATCTTCTATACCTATTATAAAAAATAACCATTAGGAAGGTTTTTTTGTAATAAAGAAAGTTTAATCAAAGAAAACCTACGTGCAGCATTAATAAACTCATCGTACAATGCAAATGTAGTTACAGGCTCCGGAAGGGAGCGGAAAAAGAGCTTGAAAGCACCAGACACAATGTTGATATCCCTATATTCATCACCACTTAAATCGACAGCATCAGCATCTATAAATTGCAAATTTGAATGACGATTTATAACTAAATATTCGACAGATTCATAAAATCTTGCCAAGAAATAACTTACTCTTATTAAATGCCGCTCTAAGCTTATTTACTGCGACTGCGGAACCTGGGATTCTGTATATTCCAACTTCTTCTATACCTGAATATGCAGTTCTCAGCAGTAAATAAAAAAGAAAACATAAGAAAGAAGATTATATTACTAGAGTACAGACCTCTCTTTTCAATCTCTGCTATACATTTTTCAACTAATATTGGAATTTTACCGTCCGCCATCAATATCGAGAGATCTTTTCCATATACTAAAAGATATGTGTTTAAGTTATTTAAGAAAGTGGTTTCTGGAGACAAGGATTTCAAAAAAGTTGTGGAACATTTAATAATCGACATACCAGAACTACGAGTTTCAGTCATTTCCGGGACTTCCTCTTCCTTAAGATTAATATCTAATTCTGTATTAAATATTGTCATTCTTTTCACCGCACTTTCTTTGGCCACCTCATCAATAACACGCATCCAATCATTCATATTCTCATAATTCAA